TTTTTTTTTTTTAATTATAGTAAGTCACATTCTTCTCTCAGGGATTGGTCCTGTCGGCATGGTCCCTGATGCTACGGGCTGTCCCCTGGCCGTTATCGCCCACCTGCAGGTCTGAATCAGCCCCCCCATGTTCTCTCGTGAACATGGTTCTGGCTGCTACGGGGGTAGTGGTAGTGTGAGGGCCTCGCCACACCACTCTTGAAAAGTCTTTTTCAAGAGTTGCTGCATCGCCACACAGCCTCTTGACACTTGGGGCAGTCAAGAGCTGTCAGAGTGGCTCTTGAAACCCTTTCAAGAGCAGCTCTTGAAAGATTGGAAACCCCAGCCTGCCTGCAACACATGCCTTTTTTTTTTCTTTTAGGCTAATTCTTTAAGCCCAACCAATTCAATTACCTGTCAAATCTGGACAGGACGGCCTTTCAGGCCTTTTTTATTGTCATTATAGTATTACGGGGAACCCCATAGCAGCCACTTCCGTGCTCAAGCCTCCAACGAGGGAACATGCAGGAGCTGCACCCACCAGCAGGTGCGATACCTGCTACAGCATGTGGGCGATACCGGCCAGGGGTCAGCCGGTAGCATCAGGACCGAGCTTCTTCTATGGGCACAAGCCAGTCACTGTGCCTCCCCTCCGGTCCCCTCCCCCTATGAACATCAGCAGTCTCTGCTCAATGCCACTGGGGGGACCAACGACATATCTCTTGGTGGTGGGCGCAAGCGTCCTTGGCCGAACCCTTGATGGACTTCCGATTTTCAAGAGTTGTCAGGTCGTTATCCTGATGCCATGCAAAAAAAACAAAGCTGTATGACTGTCGCTTTTCATCCTGTGTCCAACAGGCATCACCCTTTTGAGAGTGCTGTGCGGAGAGGGGCCGAAAACTCTTGAAAACCCAACTCTTGAGAAAGTCTGACAGCTCTTGACATATTACCCTGTTTCAAGAGTGGTGTGGCAAGGCTCTAAAAGTTTCTTTGGTTGTGAAAAAAAAAAAAAAAAAAAAAAAGGCAAGGAGGTTGTTGCAGGATAACCGGGCGATTACAAATGGATAAGGCCACCGCTGCTGCCAGGCTGGCGGCTACGTGCGATATAACTTCTTTTTTTTTTTTTTTTTTTTGTGTGTATTACTGTGTAAAGCCCAGGCTGTTGTAGGAGCCGGACTCCAGACACACAGGGTTACTGACACAGCTATTGGTAGTCCTGACAGTCCCTTATGCTTCCCTACCCATCCTCTTACTGACACAGCTATTGGTAGTCCTGACAGTCCCTTACGCTCCGTAAGACCACTTTCCCTACCCATCCTCTCGGCAACTTGAATTCTCCTAGCGCACCCCTATCCTACTCTTCTACCTCAGTATTGAGTACTCAGGACTATCACCATGCTATTTCAGAGGGTGACTTGGACCAGACAGAGGGTGACAGGACTATCACCATGCTCTGTCCTTATGTTAGCCGGGCCCCCCCACCGGCGGCCCCAAAACATGCCCTTACCCCTCTCCGCCGAGAGAGGTAACCTCCCTTCACCGAAGAGAGGTAAAGCGCACAAAAACCTACAACCCCATTTTTTTTTTTTTTTTTTGCCTATTATCGGTTGTAGAGCGCACAAAACTCCAGTGAAAAAAAGTCAAAAAATAAAACTAAAAATATACGGTTGTAGAGCGCACAAAAACCTACAACCCCATTTTTTTTTTTTTTTTTTTGCCTATTATCCTAGGATTTAAAAATGCCAGGGTTTTCCGACCGCACTTGGCCGCGGGCGGTCGCCCGCTGTGGTTGGGATGCCGACTGCGTGCGGTCAAATGGCCCGTGGTCACGACCGCAGGTGATACTTAGGAGGGTACACGCGTAGTATCCTGT